GTCTTACCGAAATAGGTTAACGAACGAAATTTCATCATTCTGCACAAGCTTACTTCCGTAACCGAATGCCGTAGCTTGTAGAAAATACATTACTGATCTTCCCACTGCATATCCAAAAGAGTAAATCTGTAATCCCAACAGCTGTTTTCTTAAAAGTCATAAAGTGAAGTAAAAAAAGAATAGAAATCTTATTTTATCTTAAGAAATCAAAATTGGTCGTCTCGCTTACCGAAATGCTTTATCAAACGTCATCTCATATTGTCTAATGAAACGTTTTTCTTGACACAGTGCAACCACAGTTCTAATATTATCTATTGCTTCGTTTGCACACTGAAAAATTCAGAGAATTTAATGTTAGTATTTGTAAGCAGAAACAATCTTACCGCTCCACCCTTTTCCTCTAATACACTTTCTTTCCTTGTCGTCTGACCAGCTTTGCGTAGCTTTTGTCCATTCAACACGCCAGTAGCGATCAGAAACGGAACAAAACACAAAACAGTAAATGCTAACTTCCAACTATTCAGAAATGCAATCACTACTGCAGTGACTACTCCTCCTATAGCTTGTGCTATAATTCCAATCGTTATTCCAGTCCATCCCTTTAATTAAACGGAAATCACACTGATATTTATGTAAATCGAAAAATAAAATATTAGCAGGTTACCTTCATTGCTGATACATCAGACGATAAACGTGTAATTAAAGCTCCGGCTCTGTTTCGTTCTAGGTCAAACCATCCAATTTCCTGACGTAAGATCGCTGCAAGCGTAAGCTTTCTCATTCTCGCTGTTAACTCTCCTCCGGATTTAGCAAATGACAAACTCGTAGCCAACTGACAAATTCCACTAATAATACCCGTACAGATAATTGTAACTGGATAAATACGAACATCATGTTCTTGTTTCTTTAAATTTGGTTGAGCAAACTGTGCGTACATTTGGGCAAGTAAAAGTCCAAGTATTGGCTGTGTTGCACCCAAGATTGACGAAGCTATACTACCAAGTATTATAAAGTACCATTCAGGTGCATTATACTTCAATATTTTTAACATGAACGGCAGACGCCATCGTTTTCTCTTTCCATCATTATCATAATCGTCAAGTACTTCATGTTCATCAATTTCTGACTCAATATCGACTGCTGTTGCTGATGCTCTTTTCTGCCTATAGTTTACTATAATCATAGCAAACTTGTAGGATATATTTTAGAGCTTTGATAAACTTCTGACACCACTCACATGAATCTTGTTGCACTAAGTTTTCTTCACCGTCTTCGTTCTCGTTTAAATTTTCTATCTGTTGTTGTGCTGTCACTAGCGCATAATAAAGGCCTTGTATTTTCATTAAATCGCGATGATTACCATATCTAATTGAAGAA